GTATTGGCGTTTTTGGACCGGCTCACCATCCTGATTACTTACACAAAATTCACCGTACACTGTCACCCAAATAAATCCGAGATCGGACGGATTGGCTTCTTGTTTTAGTGTGATTAATGTTAAGGAAGTCTGTTCTGAGCAGTCGGACATTTGCTATCCCGAGAAGCATTGCATGAGGAGTTTGCAATAAAGTCATAGGCCGAACTTCTCATTGTTATATTTTCCCACCTTATAACTTATCACTTTTATTAGCAAGTTTCACTCATGCATTTGAACATGCACGCCTTCCGGTAAAGAATGAGGCGTAACAGTGTGAATTCGTTTCTAAAAAACATACTAAATAACTGGCGCAAAAAACGCTGGATAAGCAAACATTTACGTTAGGTGGATGGCCTATGTACCAATTATTCTTTAAGGCAAATTGCAAGTATCGAAAAAAACGTGCGTGGCCATCCTTAGTTTATGTCCTGCTTCATTCTGCAACTAAAGGCTAACAAATATCTTTGTGGAAATCAAATATTCTCATTTGAATTTGTTCAAAACAACATAACTAGCAGTCTTCGGAAAAAACATCTCTTACACTAATTAGGCATATTGGTTTATGCAATATCACGTACCCTGGCATGATTCCCGATTTGACTTTGCATCACATAATAGGTTGAAAAATTTGAATTTTAACAAATCTAAGTTATTGGACTGCTCTAGATATCTAAATTACACAAGGTTAAAAAGCACAGTAATCATAAACAAACAGGTTAGCATATATTATCGGGCCTGTTTTAGTGGTAACCAAAACAACGCATTCAGTCTCTCGTTTGTTCCATGCAGAAACGTTGAATTTTTGATAAAAAGATTCAGTCGACCCATAACATTTTCAGATGCTGGAATTATCTAAAATAACCGGCTACATCTAGTCGTATTTAACGTGATAACAATAGTTGCAAGAAACCAAAATTAGGACATTTCAATTTTGGATGAAATCAAAATGTAGGTCAGTTGAAATTTCGAGTACGGTTTAAAGTTTACAATTAATCACAGTTTGATATGTTAGGATACCTTGATACATTCTGATGGACACGAATGAGGTTTATGCGTGAGGCCTAATATGGTTCAGCTTACCGGTAAAAAGATTTATAAAACAATCACTTTCATACGAATGGAAACTGTTGACCTTTCCCTTTCCTTCACTATCATTTGATATAACCCTTTTATTGTGTACGACGTAAATGAGGTAAAATCATCTGACGTGGTGTAAAAAGCGCGTGCAATTGATAAAAGTTAAAGGACAGTTGCTGAATTGAGCTTCGACCGATTTGCTTACAAGGTTCATTTTGTGTAATTTTAAGCTGTCAATACTTGTACTGCTGGTTATGGTCTGTATCAAACATCTATGAAACCGGATAGTATTTTACTTGCACTGAGATGTCGATGTCTTTAATGGAACGGTCAGTCAATTTGTCTAGTTTTGATGACTATGTCCTTCATAAGCCGGTTAGTTCCTAGACAAGTATCAGGTAGTCATCAACTCCAGTCTGTCTGGTGAAGCTAAATATAATCAAAACTAATAACTCAAGAAAAATTGCATGCTTGGTGCACTTTACAAAGCTTACGTAATAAACGTTTTATTTTAATACAAAAAAACTGATAGAAATGAAGATATTTTTTGCTCTCCAAGGATAAACAACCCACTAAAGCATTCAATAAAACATTTCACCCCACGTCAAATGAAGTTTGCTTATTTTTTAAGTCTGTTTTTGTTTCTTCAACAAAACGTGTCAAAATTAGGTGGTTTTACTGAAAGACTTATGGAAGTTTTACGTAACGTTTCATCATAAGGCAACATTTGAATATTTGAAGTTTCGGCACAGAACTTTCACATCCGACAGCACGTCTTTTTCAGTAATAAACGGTTTTATTTTATGTGAAAATAGAATTGATGTACGTTTCAGAATGAGACATCTGTCATGTTGGAATGCCATCCGACATTTAAGCCCCGCCAAGTAGTGAAGACCATCATAATGTTTCGCAATACTGAGTCTCTATTTCCTAATTTATACATAAGTGCACCTGAAGTAACAATAAATTCTAGTTTTAAACCATTCCGTTTTTTTGGCCTCGAGCTAATGAAGATATTTTCGGAGCCTTTAATTTGGGAATGCTTGTTTACACTAAATTCACGATTTCAATATCTAGATACAGTATTTTGGTAAGAAAAAAGAGTACATGATTGATTACGTGCTTGATATTTTTTCTCCCACAGTCGATAAGGGATACAACGCAGTTCTTACTATCGCCAGGAAACGGAAAGAAAATATGTTCCCTGTCTGTTTATTCAATTTCTTTATTTCTGGTCCATTTGATCTGCTTCATCATCTTAGGCACTCGGTTCTATGACTTTAAATATGCGTACCTTTACCGATCGTAAAACATCATTACTGTTCGCATAGTCGACAATTTTCCAAACTATTTCCATACTACATTATATTTTCAGTATTTTGAAGTGCACTTCAACAAACGTATTCACAAACTACGTGATTTCCTTCATATTCTTCCACTCAATGAAACGATATTGTCGTTTACAGAAAGCCCCAAAACTGCAACCACTCGACGTTTGTCTGTGCAGGAGGAATTGAATTGTATTTGAGAGTATCCAGTAAGCATCGTACGTTTTTTAGCTTATCTTCCTTGTACCAGAGATTGCTTCTGTGGATTAACAAGTTGGCGCGTAACGCTGTCTATTCTACCTTCAGCAAAGGCAACAAACAATGCATCCCGCAAAGCTGAGGGTTGTCAAATGTCTTATCTGCTAACTCGCCATTTTAGAGTAATTTCTCGCTTCTTACGACGTTCCTTCTGGTAAGAATGACATCTTATTCAAAGTAACAAGCATTAAAACGCTTGGGCCAAGAATAACTTGATGCCAGCCGCTGAATCAGTCATCTGTTGCAAAGATCGTGGTTATTGTAACTTATTCTCGATTTGTTGCACCACGTCGAACAAACACTGGGACTTGCCCAACACATTCGTATTAGCATGCTCTTACGACTATCCCCGCCTTTAATTTAGCGCCAGCGTCGAATGTTCAAAGGGTGACAGTCGTGAAGCGATTTTCTAACATGTATTTATTAAAATACCATGGAACCAAATGTCCTTTCTTGCCTGAATTCCCAACACACTAGGAGACAAACAGAATGTCGTTCCTAACTTAGTTGGGTCCCACATTAATTTACGTCGCAACTTGGCCCACATTTTCCCGTGGATTTAGGGCAGATTATTCAAGTTACTTTTATACTTATGGGCGCTGCGTACAATCAGTCGTAACTTGGGAATATAGTCAACTCGGCGCTGTTATCATCGTTATCGTTCGATTATTTTTTACCAACTGGACAGCAAAGCAACAAACGATCGATTCTCAAATTTTATCAGGGTAAATAAAATGTAATCCATTTTGTTTGAGCTGCAATGTTCCGTTGACCAGCTAAGCGGAATTGAATCACGTCCTTTAGAGTAAGTTGTTGTTACAAGTATCCAGCAATTGTGGAGAAATTCAAGTTGTTCAGTTGCTTCCAGTGAGAAACCACTCAACTAAATGAACGTGCGTTCTACCAAAAAATAATTCAAAGGATTTACCAAAAACCACTGCTCTTCTGGCGCTGATTTTAACAAAAGCTGATTCCAGTTTCAGTAAAGAAACTTGGCAATAATGGTTTCTGATTGGAAGAACGATTTGATATCACTGGTTAGGTAGGTCAAATCTGCAGACAACGTCCTGCCGGTTGCGCCCCCTTGAGGATCATTAGATACACCCAGTCTACAAATATCCAGAAATATGTTTTCTTAGAACACCAAATTCTATATATGAAGCCGAATAGAAAATCACAATGGACTTTGCCGGAATTTTTGTTCCTACTAATCCTCAGCCGAGTGTTCTGCAAGAAACCTAACACATATTTAACTTTGAACAATATTTGGAATTTCGAATTTCGTTTCCTTTCACTTATAACATCATTAGCACTGTCTTAATGAGTTAGTGATAAATTTCTATGTTATTCTGGCACGTAGAAAGCGCATTAAAGTGTGGTAAATATCTCCTCTCTGATATCTATTGCGCTGAGTTGTCGTTGTCGCAGTTCTCACAAGTAGTCTTATCCTACTTCTCCGTAGTGGTTGTAATAACAAATTGCTCCCGTTGTTAGAAAAACTCGTCATTCCAAATCATATCAAAAAACGCCCTCGGTGTAGAGATGACAGATCATTGAATGTTCTTGCCTAGACATCGTCTGCTTCTGAAGACATCTTGTTTTTCATCTGTTGGCTGCTCTAGTGAATCCACATTTATAGAGCGCCCCACAGTAAGTATCGCTATGAGGTGGTGGTGTTACGTAAAACGGAATCTGATTTTTGTGATTAAACGAGTGACTTGAGACATATATGATTTAACCAGTGCGTTGTTTTATTTCTTCTCACGATGGGTTTTCATCTCGGAATGTGCACTGTGGAGCTCCAAATGTTGTGTTTACTAAAGACGTAAAATCAGCGAGTTTTACATGGAAGGTTTGAAACATTTTTTTTCTATGTTTGGTGCTATCTCTGTATTAGGATGGAGGTCGGGTCAATAGCACTGGCGATCAAAACTTATCGGAACCAGTAACCTGACCACGTAGATAAGAAACGTTTGGTGACCTAGAAAAATTTTAAATTGTTATTGACCATATTTGGATGTATATTTTTTAAATTATCTTGAGATGCCTATGATATGCAACTACCAGGATAGCATTAGTTGAAAAAACATCCTTTTGAGCAACGAATGCTCTCCAAGTAATATCGTTCTTTACTAGCTGGTTACTTCCAAGCTATCTTGAATTTTTCTTCCAAAACCTTCAGCAGAGTGACTGAAAATCTCGGGTCACATTTCTCGTTTGAACTCCCAGATAGATTTTATATTATGCACCCACGAACTTCAAAACCAATCCACATGTATTTTCGTTTCTACTCTTCAGAACGACCTGCAGTCCGAGACTCATTGAGATCTTTGTTGGAATACAAGGTGATAGATTTCTTGCTTACTGATATTCATCGGATTAACCGTGAGAAAACAGGAGGTGGTGGCATACCATGGTAATTAATCAGCCCGATTTCTGTGCCTCTTTAATTGCCAGATCAAACCTACACAAGAGTCATTCCGTTTTCACTAAGAGTACTTTTTAGTTTTGTGTACTGTGACAGTCCTATGATTCCCTATTTTTGGGAGTGTAAAATTAGTGGCGATATTCTTGGCTTTTTCAAGACTGTTTGGTTTGTGTTGTTACCAAATACACTGTGGTTGCAACTACATCTTTCGTGGTCAGTGCTGATTTCATTCACAGACATGCTTTCGAGACCTTTTTCCGGGGTCACTTTTACCAGACACTTTAGATCCAATCAGATCAAGGCGTAATCGGGGACCGTTATTTCATGCCTTGTTAATACGGTATCCATGGCTTGCTTTGATTGAATTCTTCTAAACATTTATCACATGAGTGCTGTGACTTATCCCGAAATATCGGTCGATATGCCTTCGGCACATCATCTGGTAGACTGCTGCTCTGATAATCAAACTGGCAGGTCATGCAACTACTCCCTTAAATTCATTTCTATTTCGTTCATCTGTTGCTATTCTGGGTCTTTGGAAAGTGCGAGGTTCTCAGTTTATCCAAAAGCAAACTAATACTGCTAATTGTGTTGTGCTAAATATTGAAGGGAAGAGGTTGAGATATTTATGGTTAGCCAGGGACAGCAAGTGTTGTAGTGCTCAGGATGATAGTTCCAAAGTCAACGAAAGCAACCAGAGAGATATCCCCTTCTCTTTCGAATGGCATAATAAACCATGCTTAGCAAAATACGCGACTTTACATTATCTACTCGGAAGTGATATTGAGTATTCTTATTTGTAGTAATCTACATTGCTGAAAACAACATGTTTCTATATATGGTTCTGTTTTACCTTGTTAACAAGTTGGGTTAGTGAGGTCTTTCACGGACAAATAAGATGGCGACTAGGTGATGGCTTCACAAATTACTGTTGTGGGACAACGTTGCATGCAATCATTAGATCAAGATTCACGCCTAGAATGCAAACTGTTGTCGATGGAGCTGGAAACATTTACATTCATTATCAGATTATCACAAACCCACTTTATTCTGGCGGTGTCTACCATACAAATTTGCTTCACTGACCAGGAGGACATCGCAACAAACGAAGAGCTTTATTCATGAGAGCAGTGAGGAATGACAGACAGTGAACAACCTGTAAGAAAACCTAGTTAATTTAATAAGAACAAGCTAACTTGTCATCAATCGGCACATTGGCCAAACTCGGTCACAGCTAATGATATCGCTTCGGTTTGTTGACTGCTGTTTAGAAAGTAGCTGTTTTCGGAAAAGTCAAGAAATGTATGTGGATAACGCTTCAGAAACAATCCCGCACAAAGGTGACCCATTTATTCAAGGGTTCAATAAAAACTTCTTCATTCTATCACATATCCCATGGGACCAGGGGCGTATTAAACATCATACGTCATCCAAGACGGATACAGTTATTACACGTTTCTGCACCAATTCATCAATCGGTTTTCAGAGGTAACTAACATTTCAAGTTTTTTCCAAATACATTTGTGTAATTTTGACCATTTAGATCTGGTATTCTAATTTTCGCCAACTAAAACTGGAGGGAATTGGTATAACTAGATTACTGAATTACAGACTGTAAAAAACATTTGAGGGCTATGAATTTCAATATCTTCCATTGCCATACCAAAAAAAACTTTGGATTTTAAAAAGATTTACAAGATTTTTGGTGAATATTCCACTTCTCCGACGGTCATTTATTTCAATGCTGGTGACTGCCACTAATTGCGTTTAGCTCACTCAGTGCAGCCAGCACTCAACTTTTCTGTTTTATACCCGACTTACAATCGCCACCCGACGTGTCCATTTCATTTCAACTCCTCCGGATAAATAAGAGTCTGGTAATTATGTGTTCTGAATGTGAGCCTTGCCGATCTGGTGTTGACAAAAACATGCTCAAGGTGTATTTTTTAAATATTACGGGCCATGTCATATCTTGCATGTTTTTCCAACGTAAATGTAGGTCTTTATGCCGCAAGTTACTTGTAGACAGGTGAGCTAACTGGATCTTCCTTAAGCACGATCTCCATTTGCAAGTGTGTCGTCTATCCAGGTCGGGACTTCATTCCCCTTACATGAAAGCACATTCCTTCTGGTACGTACCATTTTATCACTGCGTTATTAGCTTTGGTTGTAGACTGAAAGTTTAAGGCACATCATATAGGATTTTCTCAGCCATTCCATAGTTATAAGTCAACAACCAGTTTGAAGTTTTCTTTTGAATGTGGCCGCTGACTAAGGGCACCCAATGTGACACACAATCTATAACGAAGGAGTCAATTAGGATCATATTCACTAAATTCCACGGATTTTATTCCAAGGGCAACCTTCTCAATACTAAACTATTTCGCAAAAGAATGGTGTGGTTAAACATGTTTTGGATTTGGCAGTATGGAGTTTTGTCTTGAGTTGATGCAAGCGATGAAGCCTGAAGTTACCCTTGTTGGGTCAACGTCAAGAGTCACTCTGGATGACGTAAAAGTAAGACTTTCAGTTTATTCGGTAAATATTTTGCAGATTTATTATTCATGTGACTCCGGACAAAATTTGGGATTTAAACGAAAATGTTTACTTTTTTGTGGATTCTTCTACTGATAATCCAATGACTCGTCCGCCAAAACTTTATAGTTTTGGCAGCATCGTAGGGAATGTCTGAAAAATAGTGATAATTAATGGCTAGCCCAGTTGGCTTAGAAAAACATGCACATGTATCACACAGAAAGGCCAACAATTTGTCTGGAAATCGGGGAGTGCCAGTTTCTTGGCAAAACTTGGTTCCTATCTTAGAAAAGACCTGATTGAGCGAAACACGCTTAGCCGCAACATTTGGGGTGGTGATTCCCACTGAGACAATCAAACCAAGAAATTTGTTTTCCAAATAAAGAGCAAGATAATAGATGCAGCGCCCACCAACTTCCTAGAAAGACAATTTCATTCCGAGTGTCCTTTCTTGCATCTGAGCTTTTCATACAAGTTTACAACTCAAAAACCAGGAAAAAATACCCCCAGAATGTCTAATTCAATTTATTGCTTGAACTTAACCATAAATTTGGAATTCGAAGACGGGAGAGACTGGGCTTATTTTATGTAAACATAAACAATAACTTTCCATAATATTTCAACACCTTTTGTAGCGGGGGGCTCAAGTAGACTTGAGAGGAAATGAGGCCAGTTATCTCTTTGTGCGTTTAGTATTAGGCGCAAATTATATCACAAAATCTCAAAAGCAAGAAAAAATACTTGGCTATTTAACGAAATTGTAAAAATTGTTCATAACAGTCTGCGTCATGCAGTATTGCAGAATTCGTATAGCTTTTCTGATAATCGTTTGTTAAGCTTTACCAAGTAGAATAATGATGGTCAAACAAAGTGTATTTCTGGGGTCGTACAAAATGGACAAACTGAAACAACACTGTAAACTGACTACAAAGTGCATGTTGCTATTGAAACGGCCCAAACAGCTGGGTTCACTAGCAGCCTCTAGCTAGGTCTCTATATTTCGAACTTTCCTAACACTATACATTCCCCAGTGTCCTTGCCCGTTTTGATATCATTGACTACCTCAAGTCAGGCAGTACTAAATTTGATAGGTTGATGTTCTACATTGAATTACTGTGTCCAGAGTAGATGACATACCAGCAAATTTATTCCCACACCGGTTTCATTTTGGTCGCAGTGTTGATGCAAAGCCCCCAGAGGATTTGCAGCTGCCTGTCGATCAGTAAAGTTGTGGTGCTTTGGTTGCGCTGCACATTTGGGCATCCCGTGCGCAGTGAACTGGCATTCCGACTTTAGGTGTAGTACAGGGGCAAAGGCCATGGACTACCGGAAGCATATCAAAGACGCGGGAAAATACATAAACTGTGGGTGTAGTTGAGCTAGATGGACTGAACAGTTTTGCGATTTGAATATTTAGCGACGCCTTAATAAGTAAATCCAGTAAGAGTTTAAAATGAAAAACACAGAGCATGGAAGCTCATCAACTGCAAAATTGAGTATGAGGCCAGCTTACTTCGTAGTGGGACAAAAGGATGTCCCTTAACCTTTTCTTAATTTCTTACAAGGAACAGGCAGCAACACATCACAGGGCTGTACTTTATTAGCTGGAAATAGTGGAGTCCAAAGCGCAGCGCTGATAACTTTTATTGTGCCACTACCCAAGCCATACAACCATCTCTTGTAATAGTGATTTGCCATCGATGAGGTTCCCGCTACTTTTAGCACGCCACCTACTTTCACTGATTTTCAAAGCTTTCTGAGGACCAGTTTCAACGCCAACTCTTCGTGCACACATGTTTAGTAAATACGCTCTTTCCTATCTAAGAGACTCTTAGTTCATAGTTGCATTTGGTCATCGTCTGGCATAGTCTATCAGTATCTAACATAAATGAGGGCTGAATAGTTCGATGAATCTGCATTAATGCCAATGTTTCTCATAAGCAAATCACTGCCGGCCTTGGGCAAGATGTGATTCTTTAAAAGCAATCTAAATGAACAATACCGAATATGTCGAATGTCATTAAAATAAATTTGCCGGTGTTGATGAGCATTAAATGACGTTCAGGGTGCACCGGAAAACTAGCTTTAATGCCGTGCCTAAATGATCGCAATTTTTTTAGTCCAGAGCGACACTGGAAATATCCAGATTCTAGATATCACTTACATTGTACCACTGATTTGTCCTGGGGAAAACCTGTTGTACAAATGGATAAGATCGCATATCCCCATTAGGACTGGTCCGATTCGATAACTCTCCGGCTTGTTTTTATTTGCCGACCTGACAGTCTGTGGACATTTTGTTAAAGACATGAAGATGTAGAAAAATACCCCGATTATTTTGACCAATAAGGTGACTGATTTAAGGATGAAACATGAACCGCCTTTTTAAGACTGCAAGGAACTCGAGGTTGCTGTCATTGTATAAGGATTTCCAGATGCTCTAAGAGCTAGGA